AGTGACTTCGTCAGTAAACACAACAACAAGCAGGAGAAAATTACAACATGGCTCCAAAAGGTTTGTGTTTTATGTTCTGTCCGTTTTATAATCGCCAACACGGACCTGAAAAACAAAGGAGACAGCTAGCTAGGTGATAACTTCTCACGGGGCCGCAAAGTTAGTAACTTTTTTTTAAAAGTAAAGCAACCGGAAGGCAGTACGTTTCTGTATTCTGACAATTTCGGGAGCTTCGCTCCGTTTCCGCGTCCGATTTCCTGTCTTTCCTTCCCCAAAGATGTCGAACTTGACCCGTTTCAGAGGCGTTGCGCGTAGAAAATAGAACCGGCACGTAAAGGCCGCGACATGCTGCTCCTGAGACGCGGCCGACTCGCGCTGCTGACGGCTCCAGTGGAAAAGATTCTGTTGACCACAGCGGTTCCTATCAGCAGCTATGACGTGCTGCTGCAGTAACATGCTACTGACAGCTCCTGTGGAAAGTAGGGGTAGGTCTTCAGAATCAACCGAGCAGTCTGCTCGGAGTGTAAGTGAACAGAGACAATCCAGTTGCAATAGCCAATCAGCTCACGAGTCGGAGTGGCCCACGCAAAAGCTGACATGAACTTCTCCTTAATGCAATTACCTAATCAATCAATCACATGGCAATTGCTTCAATGCATTTAGGGGTGTGGTCCTGGTCAAGACAATCTCCTGAACTCCAAACCAAATGTCAGAATGGGAAAGAAAAATGATTTAAGCTATTTTGAGCATGGCATGGTCGTTAGTGCCAGACGGGCCGGTCTGAGTATTTCACAATCTGCTTAGTTACTAGGATGTCCACGCTAGGGTTGTCACGGTATGAAAATTTAACCTCACGGTTATTGTGACCATAATTATCACGGTTTTCGGTATTATCGCGGTATTTTTTAAACGGTGTTGCATATATTCAGAAAGCATTGATAGTCATGTTCTACACAAACTGAAATAGTTTTGAAAAGGTTTAACAGTGTTTATTAAACCTAAAATAACACAAAGCCTTAGCAAAAGTGCAACTTTTCACAAGTAAAGGAACAAATAGCTTCTTTTTCTGGAACATGTTACAGTAGTCAGTGCAGGTTTAAATGATACAAATCCAAACATTCGAAACATAAACAATATGTAAACAAATCAAAGAAACACCACTTGTTTTCTCATATACTTGTTTTCTTCATTATCAAAATGAAAATCTAAAACTCCAGTCCACACTTGACTTGAGCACTGTACAAGTCAACCTTAAAAAATATGTATTTAAAATAAATAGCCACTTTAAACAAATTACTAAAATAACTACTACACTATGTAATCAAATCCAAAAGTTCAAGTATAAATGGCATTGAATAAGTAAACAAATCAATGACAAGGAACTAATTGTATATTTCTCTTCATCATCAACAAATAAGATGCTTCATCCAGCAACAGGGTGTCCGTGACACGGTTTAAATGCTGGCAGAGGACGCTGCGGCTGCAGTCTATAGTGACTCGTTGCATTCTCCCTCAACCAGAAGTCCTCACGTCATGCATTTAAGCTAAAATGCTAATGATAACCTACCTTGCACTGGCTGTAGAGACGTGGGTGATGGTCACGCAGATGTGCCATGAGATTCGAAGTGTTGCTGCCTTCTGCAGACACTTGTTTCCTGCACGTTCTGCAAACGGGATAGCCGTCTTCTATTAACTGTCCCTCAGCATTTTTCAGAAATCCAAAATATGCCCATACTTCCGATTAGTCTTCTTTGAGGGCTGATGGATGTCCTGGGCGCTGCCGTCTCCTCCTTCGGCCATTATTTCAGCTTCAAAGTTTTGGTGCCGTTGCAAACTAAAAAGTGCGTTTGCGCGCCGCGGAAACTTCAGCCAGCTGAAGCGACGGTGGCTGGTAAGGGTCGCCGCGCTGAAACCGCGGCCACGGTAAACCCACCGAGATAATTTCGTTTTTTAAAAACTGGACGGTTATTTTTATTGTCAACTTTTTTACCGGGGTTTACCGCTATACCGGTTACCGTGACAACCCTAGTCCACGCACAACCATTTCTAGGGTTTACAAAGAATGGTGCGAAAAGGGAAAACATCCAGTATGCGGCAGTACTGTGGGCGAAAATGTCTTGTTGATGCTAGAGGTCAGGGGAGAATGGGCTGACTGATTCAAACTGATAGAAGAACAAATTTGAAATAACCACTAGTTACAACCGAGGAATGCAGCAAAGCAGTTGTGAAGTCGCAACACGCACAATCGTGAGGCGGGTGGGCTACAACAGAGGAAGACCCCACTGGGTACCACTCATCTCCACTACAAATAGGAAAAAGAGGCTACAATTTGCAGGATCTCACCAAAATTGGACAGTTGAAGACAGGAAAAATGTTGCTTGGTCTGATGAGTTTCGATTTTTGTTTAGACATTCAAATGGTAGAGTCAGAACTTGGCATAAACAGAATGAGAACATGGATTCATCGTGCCTTTTTACCACTGTGCAGGTTGGTGGTGATGGTGTAATAGTGTGGGGGATCTTAATGCCAATTGGGCATCGTTTAAATGCCACGAGCTACCTGAGCCACCATGTACCCATCCTCTGATGGCTACTTCCAGCAGGATAATGCACCATGTCATAAAGCTCCATTCATTTCAAATTAGTTTCTTGAACATGACAATGAGTTGATGGTACTACGACGGCCCCCACAGTCACCAGATCTCAACCCGATAGAGCATCTTTGGGGTGTGGTGGAACGGGAGCTTCGTGCCCTGGATGTGTATCCCACAAATCTACATCAACTGCAAGATGCTATCCTATCAATATGGGCCAACATTTCTAAAGAATGCTTTCAGCACCTTGTTGAATAAATGTCACCTAGTATTAGGCAGTGCTGAAGGCGAAATGGGGTCAAACACTGTATTAATATGGTGTTCCTAATAATCCTTTAGGTTGGTGTATATATTCTGTACAGGTACAGAAAATTTGTGGCGCGCCACCACGGCAAAATAAAAGCTACCACACCTTCAGAAGGATAAAAAAAAAGTTTAAACAGCATACCTTAAGAATTAATTTTTTGGATATACATTAAAACTATGTAAATACGAGACATATATAGTCTATTTTTGCATGTATACTAAACCATAATGACAGTTTAAAATGAAAGGCTGCATACACATCCTGCATACACATCCGTCATGAAAATACTGTTGAAGTCATATATTGATAACTGCAAATTAATCAAACCTACAGGTAAAAGGGAAAATCAACTTTGGATGACTAAAGCTTGGTTTATGCTTGATGCATTTACTTTCCGCTTGGTGATGCGGCTCGCGGATGGAACACGCTTCACAACTTGCAGCGTTTATGGTTCATGTGGCTTGTCTCTGCGGTGAGCCAATATTCTCCCAAACTGAACGGGGCAGCATGGAGCTCTATGGCATGCATACAACACTACACCATAGTAGAAGTAAAAATTACTGTTGTTTACAACATGGCATTCCAGCATTTTTTAACAGCGTCCTCGTTTTTTCCGACAGTGGGAGCTATTTCTCTCCAAGAATTATTAACATGTTGATCACGGTGATCTTTGAGAGCTGAATCATACAAATGTCTGTATTTATAAACCTCTGCCATACTAGTCCTTGCCAGTCCGCCATGTTTTTCCGTGTCCGACCATCCGCGTAGTTAGAAAATTTCCTATGTGCGCGGTGCGGAAAGTTTGGGCAGTGCGGAGGCACGGTGGAAGGGCCGTGGTCGTTAAAATGACGCAATTTTGCCGCGCGGAGCCGTGCGAACCTCGCGTCAAGCATAAACCACGCTTTAGGGATTACAGAATGTGTGTGCAAAAAAGAATAATTTATATATGTAGCGTTGTTGATCTACATAACTAGAATTTAACGCTGTTGCTATTCAGCTTTGTTAAATTCTGAGAAAGATCAAACGAATTGGCAATGAAACTTATATCATATATATATCCACGGATATTTATATAATCGATAGAAGTTCATACACCAACTGGCTTGGTCCATTCATACGTCCAAAGATCGATTTAACCATTTAACAGTGTCTGGCTCTTGTACAGCTAAAATATAAAAGAAGTTCAGAGGCGTGGGTGATGATAAAGGGTTAATATGGTGTAGCGACCTTCTTCCGCCCACCGTCATGTGACTGAATTCACGCATGCGTGCTAGGTGTGAAGATATTTTTAAAAATGGCGTCGGATACTAGCAGCAACGTTAGCAATGACCTCGGTTTGAAAACACCGAAAACTCTTAAAGCTGTAGTCTGGCAGCATTTTGGTTTCAGAACGGACAAAGAGAAAGGTCAGCTTGACAAAAGCAAAGTGATTTGCAAGGCATGCCAAATGGAGGTGAAATATTGCGGAAATACAACCAATCTCAACAATCACATTTTGCGACATCACCAAGATCTTGCATGCAAGCCGTCCACTGGTCTGCAGCAGATGAAATTCAAGGAATCACTACAACTACCGGCTAATTCTACACGTTCTCACAAAATAACTGAGGCGATAGCGGGCTTCATTTACAATGATATGCACCCATATTCTGTCGTTGAAAACGAGGGCTTCAAGCGGCTAATGAAAGTAGTGGAGCCGCAATATGTTATGGTTTCTCGCAAACGTCTTTCAGAAGAAGTCATGCCAAACATGTACCAGTCGGTGAAAGAAAATGTGAAATGTAAGCTTCAGTCAGCAGAGAGAGTGGGCATTACAACGGATACCCGGACATCTGTGGCTACGGAATCGTACATGAGTTTGACGACACACTACATTGACGAGGAGTGGAACCTCAACTCGTACGTATTACAGACCACAGAAGTTGAAACTGACCATCGTTCTGCCAGTCTAGCAGAAATGTTAACTGCAGCGATAGAGGAGTGGGGGCTGATGAGCAAAGATCCTGCTATTGTGACCGACAATGCGGCTAATATGATTCGTGCTGTTGAGATGATGGGGTTAACACACATTGGCTGTTTTGCACACATCATAAACCTCACCTCGCAAACCGGTCTCAAACTCCCAAATATTGCACGCCTGCTTGGGAGAGTGAGGCACATTGTAACGTTCTTCCATCGCAGCACAACAGCTAGCCGCATCTTGAAAGAAAAGCAGAAACTATTGCAGCTTAAACAACACAAGCTCACAATTGATGTTGTGACCAGATGGAATAGTGCACTGGAAATGCTCGAACGTTTTCTGGAGCAGCAGCCTGCTATCTCTGCTGCTCTGCTCTCACCTGAAGTCCGCAGAAATGAAAAAGATTTGTGCAGTCTGAAAGAGGAAGACATAACTGATGCTGAAGACGTGGTCAGAGCTCTGAAGCCAATGAAAAAAGCTACTGAAGTCATGTCAGAAGAAAAGTCACCAATCCTCTCAGTGATGGCACCCCTGCGTGCTCTGCTGCTGAAGGAGATGACCAGCCTCCCAGAAGACTCCAAAGTTGTTAAGGATATGAAGAATGAGATCAAGAAAAACCTGAGAACAAGGTAGGCCTATTTTGTATGTGTGTGAGAGAAAATAGGTTATATTGTGTATTTAATGAAACAATTTAAGAAAATATTATCTCCCTAATTGCATAGATTTAAATGTGTGACATTTATATTTCAGGTATGTGAATCAGACGGCCATGCTGCATGCCGCCTCATCTGTTGATCCACGCTTCAAAGCCCTGCCATTTCTGTGTGAGGAGGAGCGAGAGCACACCTTCTCCAGGCTCCAGGCTGAAGCAGTGGGTGGGATGGAGGAAGAAGCATCTAATGTAAGTAAGAAGAAGCCTTGTGAAAAAAAAAATCCAAGCAAATACTACCATGTAATTTATCTCTCTCTCACACACACATTACATATTTTGGTGAAGTCTGATCTGAATTAGTTGAAAGCTAATGTTGCCTATTTTCTGAAATCATTCTATTAAACCTGGTTTTCACAACATGTTATTGGTTTTATTCTTATTTGTATATTTTTCATTTTAGTTTTCATTTAGTCTTTCATATTTACTTAGTAGTAGTATCTTAGTTGAGTGTTACTAGGTTAGTGAGTTTGTTGATAGAAGTTTATTAACTGAAATGTTTAATTGTTAAACTCTTACCTATCAGGGAGAAGTTGTTTGTGTTTATTCCAATTATAAATGTGCAGTTTCTTACTGTTCAGAAACATATTTTTATTTTTTAAATATTTTATCATATTTTAAATCTCAGTCTGAGCAGGCAGGTATTCATAGATAACAGAATATACTCCGATTAATCACACAGGGGGGAAATTAATTCGCTACAGCAGCACATATCCTTGGAGAAAAAGAAAAATAATAAGATTACACTTAAATACACAAGGCAATAAGCTAACCTTTCTCAGTGGCCTAGTGGTAGAGTGTCCGCCCTGAGACTGGGAGATCAGGGGTTCGATTCCTGGTCGGGTCATACCAAAGACTTTGAAAAAAATGGGACCCAATGCCTCCCTGCTTGACACTCAGCATTAAGGGGTTGGATTGGAAGGTTACCGCTCCCCCAGGGGATGGGTCAAATGCGGAGAACAAATTTTGCACACACACCTGTGTGTGTGACAACTAATGGGACTTTATTGTAACCTTCAAAAAATACTCAACTCTAAGAACCAAGACTGAACACTTTTCCTGATATCCAAGTGCTTGTCTGACTTGATAGTTTAGATCAAAATGACAGATTTATGTTATGTTAAGTTATTCATAGCCAAACCGAAGCCTATTGTTGCACAACAGCACATATAAGTATTTCTTCTCTCGTGCAGCAGGATGAAGTTGATGAAATGGAGCAAGAGGAGGAAAACAACCCCCCTGCACATAACCCCAAGCAATCCAGTGCTTTGGAGTCTCTCCTTGGGGAAGCCTACATACCAAGAGAGGAGAGGGGACATGCAAAAAAATCTTTTGCAGAGGTGGCAGAAGATGATATCAAGAGGTACAGGGCGAGGAGACCTGCAGGACTGCAGGACAATCCTCTGGTCTGGTGGAGAGAGAATGAAAAAGAGTATCCTCTTTTGGCTCGCATGGCTAAGCGATATCTCTGTGTCCCTGGGACCAGTGTCGCGTCTGAGAGGGTTTTTTCAACTGCAGGTGATATAATTAGGGCTGCTCGATTATGGCAAAAATAATAATCACGATTATGGTGACTGAAATTGAGATCTCAATTATTTAGGACGATTTTTCAATTTATGTTGAATTTATTTGTTTTTATTCAGTCATAAAATTGCTCAGGGCACAATCAGGACAAAAATAAATAAGAAACAAGATGATCACTAAAATAACTCCTGATTCCCAGTATAAAAAGACCAATATACTTATAGCTCATAGTCTATGACCAAAGGGCTATAGACCTTGGTTTAACTCATTTAAGTCTAACCAGTACAGACCCAAATACCAATATCTTGCAAATACTGACAGCAAGAATTATACAGTGGCATTTATAACAAATAAATGCAAATAAATTGATGTTCACAAAATGTTGCATAATATGTATTTAGTCATGTCAAGGTGTTGTAGGAGAGTGCACAAGCACCGTGTCCTCAGAGAGATTAGTTATTGGTTATCAGCTTGAGGAACTTATTTCTATTTCAACGTCAATTTTGGTCAGCCTCAGGGGAGTGGCATCTTGCAGGAGTTCTTGCTTCACAAACCGCCGGAGGAGACTCTTAAAAGGATATAAGTTATCAGTGACAGAACCATCCTCCTAGCCTACCAATAAACAAATCATCCCTCTAACTGCTTCTGTCTAATCATGAAAAATGTGGGTTTAATATATGTTATAAATGAACATATTTAGGCCCGAGCAGTGAAGCTGCGAAGGCCTATTGTATCTGCTCCGTTTCTTATTATTTCTTTCTTTTTCTTCCACGTCTTTGGGTGGCCTTTAGGGGGTCTTAGCATATCCAAAAACTCACCAAAATCTGGCCCAATATAGAAAGTGCGTGAAATTTACATATTTCACTGGCAACGTGAAAGTTGGTAAAAAAATGTTTCGACAGCGCCCCCTGGAAAATTAAAAATACCCCTCCGCTTTGACCTTTTTTCAAAGTAGAGTGATGAAATTTGGTACACTTGTAGAACTCAACAATACGCACAGAAAAGCCTCTTGCACCCATGGTCAATATCAAACAGGAAGTCGGCCATTTTGGACTAAATTGGCCATTTTGACCCCATTTTGGCCATTTCTAGGGTCTACATTTGGTTGAACAGTTTGGTCATTTTTCGTACGATGGTCTAAAAAATAGTGTGCGATCGAACAGAAGCGATGGACGATTAAAATGAGAAAATAAAATTGACTTTTCGTAAATTCTGAAGGGGCGGGACCAGGCCTCAAATTTCGAGCACTTGCCAAAAAAATTCAAATTGCTATAATTTCATAAATGAAAGGACTACAGTTAAAGAAACTTTCTATGGACAATCGTCATCGCCCCCCGAAGACAAATGAATGGTCGATTGATGATGTCACATAAGCCCCGCCCCCTCAGGACTTAAAAGGTCAAGTTTTACTGGGAAATTTTCCAAAATTCGCCCTTTCAAATAATCATCCCAAATTTGTAGCAGGTAACTGAAGACAAGTTGGGGTTGCTTGGCGTCACTTTATGGGAGTTTTCTGCAGAAGGCTGGGCTGTGGCGGCGCGGCGAAGTCAGGCGTACCGACGTGGCCTTACGTTTGCCTTCCATTTAGTCATTTCTAGAGATATCGCCACGACACTCCTTGGGAATGATCCTAGTCCGGCCCCCAAAAGAATCTGATGTGAACATCCGGTGGGCGTGGCCTATTTTCTGAAATAGCGCCCCCTACGCCCATTAAAACTGTCAGTCCCAAGCCAAGCTTTGACGGAGGAGTACGAAATTTGGTACACTTATGTGGTGTCTCAGGACCTACAAAAAAGTCTCTTGGAGCCTAGCGCCAAGTCGCACAGGAAGTCGGCCATTTTAGTCCAAATACTCGATTTAGTGGTTTTCGCACACGTAGTTTGGAGAGTGTTGCACCATCGCCCTTTTCACCAATCACCTTCAAACTTCTACTATAGACTCTTAAGTCAAAGGGGAAAAAATTCAACCTACGGATTTTAAATAAGTATAAAGGTGTGGGCGTGGCTAAGCCTCAAACTTTGACCTGTCGCCACGCCACTCTTTCTTTTCACAGCTCCCTATTAGACTCCTTTTAACCAATCACCAGCAATCACTGGCAAATAGCAGCAGACAAGTTGAGGTCACTTGGTCTATAGTACTGGCAGGTTTCGAATAAAGGCGGGGCTTTGGGAGCATGGCGAAATTCGCCATCACGCCATGGAAATACGTTTGTCTCTCATTTCTTCAATCATTGTGACACCGCCACACAATTTCTGATGAGTGATCTTACTCTAACCCCTAATAGAATTGGACAGCTGAAGTTTGTGGGCGTGGCCTATATTCTGAAATAGCGCCCCCTAGGACCATTAAAACCCTCAGCCCCAAGCCATGCTTTGACTGAGGAGTACGAAATTTGGCACACTAATGTAGTGTCTCCGGACTTACAAAAAAGTCTCTTGGAGCCAAGCGCAATGTCGCACAGGAGGTCGGCCATTTTGGTCCAAGTACTCGATTTAGTGGTTTTCGCACACGTTATTAGGAGAATGATGTCTCGTCGCCCTTTCCACCGATCACCTTCAAACTCCTGCTATATACTCTTAAGACATAGAGGAAAAAATTCAACCGTCGGATTTTAAATAAGTTTAAAGGTGTGGGCGTGGCTAAGCCTCAAACTTTGACCTTTCGCCATTACATTACTTGACTTAACAACTCCCATGTGCATGATCAGATCTATATCAAACTTTGTCTGTGTGATCATTGACCACATCTCAAGACAATGACAATGTGGACAGCTGACATCACCTAAGCCCCGCCCCCTGACTACAGGAAGCCTGCTGTTTTATGGTGAACTGCCCATATTTGTCCCCTCTAATTTAGTCAACATGACACTAAGGTCATGCACTGTCTTCATGATGTTGTAATGACCATTCAGATCTGATAACTTTTCAGAAAGGGAGGGGCTTTGATGCCATGGCGAATTCTGGAATACGCCGTGACCTTACGTTTGACTGTAACTTCCACAAACAGCCTCCGATTTGCCCTAGACTGAACATCACATCACCAGTGTGGTAAAGATAGAGTATCTCCTAGTGGTGAGACATGTAATGCTGGGCTCAGAGGGGATGCTGAGTCAGGGTGAGGTGTGGATGAGGAGGCCGTTCACAGTTTCTGGTGTCGGGGTGGTTGACGTTGCTGTTCTGCCAGACGTGCCCTGGTGCCCCTGGCTGTCGGCCAGGAAGGAGCGGTACGGAGCTGGGTTTGGAGAGTGTCGGGCATGGAGCGGAGGGGGTGCGGACGGAGGGCGAGCAGCTTCGCTGCGAGGGCCGAACGACGCTGCTTGCAGCTTTAATTATTTTTATATTGCATTATGGTGAACCAGGGGAACTGAAAATGAAAAAAAATTATGGTATGTATGTATGTATTTGTTAGCATCCATGTTTTATTTCAAGTGAGTTGCCCAATTTATGTAAAACGGCACACTGTATTGATTTTACAGAGTTGTGGAGCACCACACATCCATGGCTAGATAGTCCTATTGTAACAATTACCTTCAGCAGCTCATTCAAATCTTTGCCAAAGAAGGGCAGAACTGGCTCATCAGTTTGATAGTTGGTCAGGAAGATGCTAAAGGTCCTGGATATTGCCAGGAAGAACTGAAGTTTGGCAATCATGAGAGGATCCGCATGTGCCTCCTCAATGGTGTCAAAAGAGGCAGTGCTGGGGTTCGGAAGCTTCTTCTTCTTCTTCACAGCATCTACGTATAGCATGATCAGTGGCCACACTTGAATGGCCCTCTCTGCCACGGGGACATTTTCAATCCACCTATGCAAAAATGGACAATGTCAGCTCACTTCAGTTTCATTTGACTTTACTGTTGCAAAATAAAAACAAAAAACTTTAACCAGACCCTTTTGGCAGATACTTTTCCATTGGCAAACAACTGTCAACCCACCTGTGGCCACAGAATGGTAGCGGGAAGGAGGTGGACCCAGTCAAGGCAGTAAAATCTTCCCTCCTGGCTGGAACATTATGAAAGAGGTAGTGGAGTGCTCGAAGGAGCTTGTCCATCTGCCACATAGTAAAGCCTGCCTTCAGTGCATTGTGGAGTGTGTGAAGTCCACAGCTTCCATTGACCAGATGAGCACCAAACAACTCAGAATGCTCAGTCTGGAGGAGGTCTGCAAGCTTCAAGTTGACGTTTGGGCCGTCCATACTGATGGAGAGAAGCTGTCTCATATTCAGTTTTGAAACACATTCCTGAGAATAAACACAGCCCCAAGTATATTAATGACAATATTCTTTTTATGTTTGTTTTTAATACCCTCCTATTCAGTAAGCCATTAGCCTGATTTTCACTCATATGTAAAATGGTTACATGAATCAAAGTTTTGTGTACAAATCCCTGGAGCAGAAAATAAAATATTAGCAAACCAATATTTTTTTTATAAGTGAAACAAACAAGTGCTACTAAAACACAGTGTTGGGAGTAACGCCGTTTAAGTATAACAGCGTTTCTAACGGCGTTCTTTTATAGGTAACGGAATAATCTAATTAATTACTTTTCCCGCCATTGCAACGCCGTTACCGTTACTGGGGACGGACGGTTGTGCGTTACTATGTGCTTGTCGAACGTTGAGCAACAGTGTGAGGCTTTCTGACGGCCACACTTCAGCTGCAGCCAGGGAGAGAGAGGTGTCGGTAACGCACTTACAAACACGATGATGATTGGTCGGGTGGGCGGAGACCCTCACCGTCTCAGAATCTGCATGCTGTAGACACAACAAAGCAATGACGGGAATAATGCCGTTTAAATTAACCGCGTTAATAAAAAATATTTCTTTCAGTAACGAGCAAACTAATTAATTACGTCTTCTTTTATCAAAACGTCGTTTCTGTTACTGATAAGGAAATGCGTGCGTTAAGCTGTGCGGTGTGTTGAAGCTGTCATCAGCTGATCAGGAGCTAAAGAGGTAGATGTTTTCATCCAAGAGCATCACGGCCGTGAAGAACGAGGAAGACGTGATGAATAGTCTACGGCTGCAGACCCCCCGCAGATTCGCTACTGCAGGTGGGAATCTGCAGCAGCGAATCTGCGGGTCTGCAGCCGTGCCCTTCTTGGCGTGACAGCGGGACGTCCTGAAGGTCCGCTCACCTGTTCACTGCTCAGACGTCCTGATCTTCTACCTTCCTAGATCATCCAGCTGTAACCTGTTTCTGATCATGTCTTTAGTCCCGCTGTAACACTGATGCATCAGTCTTAGACGTCATGGAGCTCAGGTGTTATCACAACTACCTGTGTGTGTTTACCACCCAGCTTCAGCTCTTCTGTGGTTGGGTCTGACCCACGTTAGTACATTAAAGTCCTCCATCAGATTTGTGTCTCTTCTAGTGTCATTTTAAAGGATATTTATTTATCTACCGTAAATCCTCTAATACAGGCCGGTATTCAATTACAGGCCGGGTCTCCAATTTTGGTCGGTGTCAGAGTCGGCGGAGGTGAATAATGGCCGGTCTCTTATTGTGGCCGGGTGGAATGTGGTAACAAGCAAGTACGGGGGGCGGTTGTGTCATCGTCTCACTTTTGATTTGCCAGTGATAGACCGCGAGGGTAACTTTAACTGTGCGGAGACGAAGAGGAGGCGAAAATTTGATATCAAGTTCAAAGAGAACGTGCTGATTATGCTGCAGAACACTCTGGGGAGCAGTAGCAGGGGTTGTATGAACTAGTCGACTTCACTATAGACCAGGGGTCGGCAACCTGTTCCCATCAAAGAGCCATTATTACCCGTTTCCCACAGTAAAGAAAACACTGCAGCAGCCGCGGCGTTGTGGGCGGGGCCCACCGGTACCGGCTGATGTACGTCAAAGTTATCTTTCATAAGAAGATAATCAATAAAACGATTTATATAAAGTGGATCCAGAAGTTGTAGCCTGTCTCTGCCGACAATATTTTGATATTTTTCACCCTGTTGGTGGTTTTACTGAGCAGGTGCCACTTTTGTCATACGTTTCTTTTTAAAACATGTTTAGACTGTTCAGAATACAAATCCAGGCTCTGTCACGTTTGATTGTTGTAATTAAACTTTGTAGGTGGGGAAGGTCAGAAAATGATCCGATCATTTTGTTTTTCCCTCATTTACAGTGACGGAGATAACGGCGCAGTGCGCCTGGCTCTGGTGTTAATCAAGTTTAATTATATCTCTTTGCAACAATTTTCACAAGAAAACAGAACAGTTAAAAGCAGGGCTTGTGTTGTGTTGACCGGATAGTTCCCGTATTTGATTATTTATTTTGACGGAGAAAGAATTACCCCGACGCATGCAGACGAACTGACACTTTATTCGTTTCGCGCAGATGTAGCTAAATCACTCAAGAAATGATTCCCATCTGAGCTGGACACTGAGCTCAGCGCAGCTCGCTGTCAGCGCGTACGTACGGCACACAGTGAGCTGAAGATGTGGAGAGGGGCTTGGAGCACGTCACACAACTAGAGCGCATGCAGGAAGATTCCTCCGACTGAAGCGAGACTTGTCACTTAGAAAATGTTCCCTGATTATGAAACTTTGGCTGAATAGTGCTTGTTCCTGTCTCCAATGTGGTGACACATCCAGGAGCCTGTCTGAGGAGAATCCCGGAATCTCACATCTTCAGCTCAGAATGTGCCAATATGATTACGCACAAGTGTGATGCGTCAACCCGATCTCACAGTAAGACCAGGTTGGAACTGTTCAGGTTTACGCAGACAATCTTTACATTTAGAATTGGCTTACAGATATAAAATTAGTTCAGTAAAATATAAAGCATTTTATTTAAATATCCATTCATTATTTTACAAGCACAGAGAGCCGCATCAGATGGATGGAATCAGGTGTCGCCACCTCAAAAACTAATTTAACACGCGATCGTTCATGTCGGTTCATTTCCTTTGATGTTTCCTGTCTTTTATTTGCGCCTGATGCGTTTCGCTGTGGAGCGGGGCGCATCACCTTGTCCTCTGGTGACGCACCGATCACTGATGTGGCCGGCGAGCACTCCGCTGTTTTTGCGGTTGGTAGATCTTTTAGAACTGCAGCTCAAAGGTAACTCATGAGGTGAATATATATGAACCCAGGTAGCAGTTTCTCTTTAGGATTGAGAGGAGATGCAGGAAGATAATAAACAGGCAGGACAGAAAAATAGTCAAATAAAAGCAAGTTAGTTTTTGTACCTGCTGTTGCAACAAACAGACACCATTGAAGGTAATCAGAAGTGAGGAACAGAAAATGAAATAATTATTTTAATGTTTAGAGCAGCAGGAACTCCGAGAGGCTGCAGGCGCATCAGTGAGTTTGCGGCCGCTGCGCAGGGGGAGAGGGCTGAAGCAGAAACTACCGTTGTTAAAAGAAATGTGTTTAACTTTGAAAATGTGGGCGCAATTTTAATTGTCAAAAACTCCAGCGAACCATTAGTTCATTTTGCTCAAATAGAAATAGAGGCCTGCCTCTAATACTGGCCCTCTTCCAATAAAGGCCTGGAGATGGATGAGCTTGAGTCAAATACAGGCCCGGGCCTGTATTAGAGGATTTACGGTATTTAACCGATACTAGATTACCAGCAACAGAAATGCTGCTAAAACACACAATTATGTGAAGCTGGAAAAATTAGAATACTGTGCAAAATTACATTTATTTCTGTAATTTAACTAGACCGAGATACCATTTAAAGGCTCGGGAACCTTTGCAGGTGTTTCTATTTGCAATTTTAAATTTTAGCTGATTGGGGTCTTGTTAAATATCACACAGTGACCTTTTAATAGTCTAGATTAGTGTAATGTTCCTATCAGTAGTTCCTCCTGTGAAGTGCTTATTTATTTAAATTATTCAGGTTTATAAAAAAACATTTGGACATACATTTTATTATGTTCCAGTCATTAGTCATTTATATTTTACTATTGTAGTAATTCTTGCATTCTTTAATGAAAAAAGTAACTAAGTAGTTATTTTTGTTGGTAATTAGTTACTTTTATGATCTTGTAACTCAGTTAGTTACTTTTTTGACAAAGTAATCAGTAATTATAACTAATTACTTTTTTAAAGTAACGTTCCCAACACTGCTAAAACATGAGTGAATGTTCTTCACAGTACATCCAGGTAATGTGTTCCAATTACTTCAAAGCCATTCAAGCTCAACTGAACTGCTTCTGGTCAACCAACTTCACCCACCAAGAATATTGATGACCATTTACTAGTCAAAGAACCACACGCTTAATCAAAAACATGTATGCACAAGTATACAAACACCCACTAATCTCTGACCTACACAACCTTTATCACACCACTGTGTGTGTCACATTTATACACGTCTAGAATTTCTGATAGACAACAAACCTCTTTAGCATCCATTGCTGCTCCTCCTCCCCAACCCCATGAACCTGTTTTAGTCACGTGCCACATCACAGTCTCATCTATCAATCTACACTTTAGCAACACAACCTATAGCTCTATTGGCAGTTTCAAGAATCAGTTTCAAGATTCACAAAACTATAACCACTGAGGTC